CGGCCGCAGCCCCAACAGCAACAGCAACAGCAACAGCAGCAGCAGCAGCAGCAGCATCACCAGCTGTCTCAATTCCAACATCAACAGCAGCAGCAGCAGCTGTCTCAGCTCCACCACCAACAGCACCAACCCCAACAACACCAGCAGCAGCAGACGCAGACACAGGCACAGACACCGCCGCTTGGTCAGATGCAGCAGCAACATCAACAGCCGCAGCAGCAACAAATGGTTGGGTCGGTAATGGGTGGTCAAGCTTTTGGACAAGTCCCCGGAAGATCTCAGGGTCCACCTAACATTCCTGGAGCGGGTGGCTTCATGGGTTAAATGACTTAAACATCTTTTTCATGTTGTGGTGACTTCTGGTTCTTCTTTCTTGAAAAAAAAAACTCTTTTTTTCAGTTGAACACTTTTTTAACCAAGTTTAAAACAAAAACGAAAACCCTAAACTCAACACGTTCGAGCTCATCCTTTTCTCCCCGAAACTCGTGAGTCTATTTCGGATAGCCGTGAATATAGAGTAACCGAATTTCGGATACCGACTCATGGTTCGGGTCGAACATTTGAAATCTTGAGTACCGATCTTATGCCTTTCTTGAGTACGTATTCATGGCTTTGGGGTGGCAAATAAATTGATTTCCATACAAACAATGCAATTCTTGGCAAAAACCTTGTTTCATAAACATAAGAAAAAGGAGGGACAAGAAGAGGTGGCGGAGACATGATGCCATGTGTGTCCCTCATTGCCCACAATCATTTTCTATATAAAAGAACCTTCTCTTTCCTCTGTTTTCAATTTCCTTTTACGAAATAATTGAAATAAAAAATAAATAATAGTTTCAGTTCACAAATTAAAGAAAAAAAAAATCTACAGTTGCATTTTTTTGCATTGAATAAAAAGGAAGTAGACAGTTGCAAAAGGAGTGATCCTACGAGAAACTATTTTCTTTCTTTCTTATGTCCAATGAAAACCGCTCCGTATTGACGACGACTCGCGCTTTCAAAAACCCTCTCTTTTTCACCTCTCTCTCTCTCTCTCTCTCTCTCTCTCTCTCTCTCTCTCCGGCGTCGTCTTCGTCCCGCTGTTCATCATAAATCTCTCTATATATTGCCGTCGGCGTTTCAGAAAAACCCTTGAACCATTTCTGACCTTTTTCGAATACCCTTTTTACCCTCATTGACCCTCGGTCTCTCTCCTCTGTTTTTGGTATCCTTTTTCTCTGTTTAGGTGATACAGAAAGATGCTTCCATGAAATTGAATCTGGTCAGTGAGTCAGTCGGTCTATGCCCGCCATGAGTGACTCCAACAGCGTCTCTCCTTCCTCCGATTATGCCTCCATCTCCTCCGGCGATCAGGTCCTCTCTCTTTCACTTCAAGCTTTCGCTTTTTTTATTCTCTTAGTTCGATACCCACGAAGTTTTATATGAATTCGTTATGGGGATTCGGAGATTGGACCTAGTCTTATTCAATTAATTTTCAGAGCAGTTGGTGTCGGATTCAATAACCCTTTTCTGGGTTTTCCTTTATTTTGAAGTTACTCTGTTTAATAATGAATTTATCTGTTTTGACGGCGAGATCTTGTAGCACGTTCTGGCTTTCTTGCTCCTTGATAGCGTCTGACGACTTCAGGACAGTGATTTAAATCATGGGTTGTTGGCAAAATCCGTCCTTTTTATGCGCTTTATCACGTCAGTATAGTTCTGTATACGTGTATGCAGTTGCATAATCTAAGTTTCATGGTCAACAATAGCTCTAGTTCCCATCAGTGACTTAGTTTCACCGAATCAGTATTATTCTCTGTACTCTGCTTAGGCTGAAGCTTTTACGGCTGATACGAATTTCTTTTGCTTTTAAAGTCATATCCTTTTGAAGATGCAGAATGTAGAGAGGAGTCGAAGGAGTGGAGATGGCAATCGAACCCTAGTTCGAGAGTCCCGGCACTGGCACGATGTATTCTGGTCGGCAATTTTTGTGATTCATATGATTTGCTTGGGATTCGTCCTTGTGGTGCTTGGACTCAATAGGTTTAGAAAATCAGATCGGTTAAACATAGACAGATATACCCAAGGATTCTTGGAGAATCGTAAAGGACTTACCGAGAATTACTGGCCCTTATATGCCGTTGCTGGTGGAATCGGGACGTTTATCGGCTGGACATGGTCATTGCTGCTCGGTTCTTATGCTAGTGAGATGATGAAAGTCTCGGTTCACATCTTAACAACTTATTTAGCTGTAGTTAGTGTACTATGTTTCTGGTGCAAACAGTTCTTCTGGGGCGGTGCATTCGCCATTGGAGCTGTTCTTCAGTTCTTGTATGTAATATCGGTTATAGACAGGTGCGAGGAATGATAAGTAACAAAAAAAAAAGCAAGGAACTTTCCATGTTCCTTTGGTGAAGTTCTCTTTTTGATGTCTCGGGCTTCTTTTGCAGGCTTCCATTTACGATGCTGGTGCTGCAAAAGGCGGTGAAATTGGTCTGGAGCCTACCGAAAGTAATGGTGGTGGCTCATGGTTTCATGGTGATAATGCTTCTATGGATGGGTCTATGGTCTTTTGGAGCGGCTGGTGTCGTGGCCTCGAGCATGGGGGACGGTGGACGATGGTGGCTTCTTGTGGTGAGCTGGCAAGTTTTTGGCAAATTCCCATAGATTTTTCCAGAAGTTTCCTCGCAGAATTATGATCTGAACACTGAAGAATCATGGTTTGAGATTCGCTGTCATCTGCAAATGCAGGTTCTTTCCGTAAGCTTGTTCTGGACAGGCGCTGTCCTGTGTAACACTGTACATGTTATAGTGTCCGGAATGGTGTTTCTGGTTCTTTTTCATGGTGGGCGAGAAGAAGCTTCGTCTTTGCCTCCAAACTCTTTAATGGAGTCCCTGAGATATGCAGTGACAACGTCTTTTGGGAGCATATGTTATGGATCCCTCTTCACTGCCGCCATCCGAACGCTTCGCTGGGAGGTAGTTCTTCATATTCTGTATTACACGGGTTGGATATTCGAGATTTTTGGATAGTCGAATCCAAACCCCAAACTTTTCGGGTTTCATGAGATGTGTCACCTGATCTCGAATCTGTTTTGGTCGGTTATCCAAAAAGTTGGATATTCGAGATAATTTTCGGATATCCGAACCCTAGAATCCGAAAACAAAATTTCAGATTATTTTTCAACATATGTATGATATACTAGAGTTGGTTCAGGTTTGGTGTCAAGAAATTTTTGGATTATGAACCTGAATCCAAAATTCAAGAGATTTCATTCAAAACCCTAGGTTTTTACTGTTCATTTGGGTATTCGTGGGTAATTCTCTTCTAGCACGTCAATACCAGAATCCGATTTCCGGGCTTCCCTAATAAACAGATACACTGCAGATAAGAGGATTCCGCTCAAAGATTGGCGGAAACGAATGCCTTCTTTGCTGCGTGGACTTCCTGTTTCAATTAGTCGAAACACTTGTTCGGTTTTTCAACAAGTATGCCTACGTCCAGGTACTCCTTTCGGTTCGTTGCAATGTACATATCTCGATCTCGATATCAAATACGATAAAGCATTAGCTTTTGTTATCAGATAGCGGTGTACGGAAAAGGGTTCAACCGGTCAGCTAGGGACGCGTGGGAGTTGTTCCAGTCGACGGGGGTGGAGTCGCTTGTGGCCTACGACTGCTCGGGAGCCGTCCTCTTGATGGGAACCATCTTCGGAGGGCTCGTAACGGGTACTTGCGTAGGCGTGTGGGCTTGGATCAGGTTCAGCGACAGAGTCATCATGGTTGGTTCTACTGCCATGTTGATGGGAATGGTCCTGGTGAGCTTCTTTATTCGGATCCAATTATCCAAATTTGAACCCGATTTTCGGGTTATTCTCGTGACCAAACTCATTCTCATCTCTTATAATAGTCGGGTAGGGCACCCGATTCACAGATAGGGTTTTTTTCCCATGCCATATTCAAAGCAACTGAATAGTGATTCATGGTTTGGTCCAGGTGGGGCTGGCAATGGTGGTGGTGGAGAGTGCAGTGACGTCAATATACATATGTTTCGGGGAAGACCCTTTGTTGATTCAGAGATGGGACGCCGATTTCTTCAACCACTTGTCCGAAATGCTCCACCGCCGTCTCCAGCACCGCAGCTCCCGCCATGTCCTGACCGCCCCCGCTTGATCCGTATTCCTTCTTCTCTTCCATACGTTAGTTTGTTTCTATTCTCTGTCCGAAAACTGTAAAGAACAAAAAGATTCCTCTGAAATGTACTTTCTTTTTTCCGCTGAAGCGAATATTGCATCTTCTTCAATCAAACCCTTTTTTTTTCTGTGATTCGTCTCTGTAATGCCCTTAGATAAAAGTCGTGAGCTTTCTCTTGTTTATGAACAAAACTGGTTTTACCCAAATGGACCCAAGAGAAAATTTACAGAGAGAGGTTCTAGTTTTATTTACCGCAGGAGAAAGAAAACGCACACAAAAGCCCATGAAACGAAGAAGAAGACCGCAGTAAATGTTGAGACGAATCGTACAGAGACCATAGGAGAGAGAGAAACTCGTAGCTTCCCTTTTTTTAGGGTTTTTTTTAGGGTGTTTCTTTCAAGCAATGTCTTATTTTTAATGCACATTTACACCCGCATTAAATAGTTTCATTTGTACATTCACTTATTGAACTTTCTTGATTTTGTGTGTGTGTGTGTATATATATATATAGGTATCGTATATGTGTATGTAATGGGTTATCATTGTTTTCCATCAACTTCACATCAGCAGCTTCTGGTCACAATGTCAGTTCTCCCTGCCGCCCTGACCAGAGGATTTAATCTCTCAAAGAAATTAACCAATTTCTATATAAAAATTAAATATGCATTAAATTCACAGCTAAACCTTAGGCTTAGGCTTAGCTGTTGTGAATTTTTTATTTTACTTTTTAACGAGAGCCGGAAAGAGTAAAACGCAGCGTTTTGCACAAACAGGATAACATGATGAAGAAAACCCACAAGTTATTTTTGTTTTTTCTTTTGTCCGGACTCACTTGTATGAACTATAAAGACTTGCCTTATATATCTTCGCTGTAATTTTTTTTTTTTTACAAATACCAATATGGAAATGGCACTAGACACATGCATGCATATGTCTGTATATATATACACACACACACAAATGAGAATTAGTACTACAAGGAAATCCCGTATTAGTACAAATAGTAATCAGCACTTAAGCCGTAGATCCAAAATCATATTTGTCCTAAACACATTATTTGCTCATAATTAATAATTTAATATGGCATTCTCTGTTTTTGTTTTCTCTCTTTTTAATCTCTTGTTGAGTTCATTAAAACCAATTAATAATTTAAGTAAAAACCAATAGCTTCAAAACGATAATTGTATTAGTTGAACCATATAAAAAGTCATAAAAACACGTCAACAATCATAATAATTAAATAATTAGTTGCACAATAATGTTTTTTATTATTATTATTATAACATAAACAATATCACCTGTCCTTTTCAATGGAAAATCAATTTATTGCTTGGTCAATCCGTTTATAATTCTTGGATTTTATATATAAATATTAAATATCACATTTTAATATATATATGTGTTCCTTTTTTCCCCATTGGACGTGGAAGCCGAATCGAATCGCCCACCAAATATATATATATAATTTCTGCCCTTCCTCCTGTACTGTACTGATTCGCCATCTTTTCTTCGTCGAGAGATTTCGCCCCCTCCTTTTAAAGCTTTCTTTCGCCTCTCGCCGTCTTCATCAGAAACAACAGAGGTAGTAGAAGCGAACAATTAAAAAAAAAAAGGCTCAGGGCTTTGGTGTGTTGTAAGAACAAGAAGAAGATAAATGAAGAGCAGCGTCAAGGCAGCTCCTTTCAGCTCAGATTTTTACTGTCAATCTTCTTTCTTCTACAGGTATTTTTCCATCTCTTGACCTGCGAAGCTTTCTCTTTCATGTGTTTCTTTCCCGAGTTTTTAAAAACGTTGTCTTTTTTTTCCGACACTTTTTTTTCCCTGTTACGGTCTCTGGAAACAGGGGAAACGGTGGTGGTCTTGAAGAGATTCATCAACCCACCACTGGTTTTCACCACGAAGAAGCTGTTGATTTAAGCCCAAGTAAAGTCTTCACCTTTTCTTGTTTTGTTTTGCGTACAGAATATTCATATATATATATATATTATATGTATATATACATACATACAGACAGAATGCATCTATTTCCATGTATCTTTCCGTTTGTTTGTGCTTCATTGGGAATCTCAGTAGGCTCCATTTTCGGTTCAGCGCCTGCAGATGTTACTGTTGATTGCACCAACTTACACTACGCGACGTATGATACGGTAAATAACTCTGTAATGTCCCGACGGAGAGAGAAAATTTAGACCTTTTTTTAATGGGGAAGACAAAGTTCAAACCTTTAGCAAGTTTTTTTGACGTTTCGGTTCACTTAATCGATCAAGTCGTTGTGATGGGTGGTTTCATTTGTAGGTTATGGATTATGGATTGAGGGATGGAGTTGAAGGAGAAGCGGGTTGTTTGGACACTGGGCAATCGGTATTCCAGAAAGGGATAACGATCGGAGCGATGACAACGTCGGTGAATGGGTACTGCGGCAACACTGTAGAGAAATGTTGCGACTCAGTTTCTGCCATGGCAGATAACAGCCGACATACTGACACTTCCACAGATATTGATACTGATGACAAAACCCAGGTTTTGTCTTTGTCTTGTTCCCTTTTTTTTCCGCCTAATCACTGTCCAAAAGATACTGTTTTCTGGGAAATATTCGTTCAAATTGGAGCTTTTGTCCGTCTGGTCGATAAATCCGATTGATGGGTCATCTGGGAATTCGAGAATTGACACTGAGAACTATCTCTTCGTCGACTCTCCCGAGAAGATTGTCAGATTTGGTTCCATGGGGCTCACCAAGATAGCTTGTAGCCATTACTCTCTTCCTGTTTGATATTATTGCCCGTCTTCAGTTTTCATTGAATATTAATGGTGTACCCAGATCAGATTTTTACCGGTTTCATAGCTTTTTATGGAAATGTGACCTGTGATTGCATGAAATTTCACAGTTTTAGTTCCATTACTGCATCTGGAGCTTGTAGTTATGGTCAAATGGTTGAAAATCTTATGTTTATAGCGGCTTTTTCTCTGTGGCGGTGTCACAGTTGAATGGAGTTCAGCAAGGGAAGGACTGTGCAGATCAATCCAAGGCGATATCTGGGAACCAAAAGGTTAAAATAATATTCAGAGAACAGGAATATTTTAGTTTTGGTTTAAGGATTTAACCAAAAGTGAGATTTGGATTCTTACCAGACACTTAGGAGACAGGCTCAGAACAGAGAAGCTGCAAGGAAAAGTAGACTGAGGAGAAAAGTAATCTTGAGCTTTGTTCCACTATACATATACATACATATATATATATGTGTGTGTGTGTACATTTCTACTATATATGTGCTTTCTCAATGGTTCTTGATGTTCTGTTTCATTATAGGCGTATGTTCAGCAGCTCGAAAACAGCCGACTCAGGCTAGCTCAACTTGAGGATGAGCTCAAAAGTGCTCCCCAACAGGTCTTGAGGTTTTCATCTATGATAATTTACTGGTTTCTCCTAAGATATTCATCCATTTGATTCGTGGATTCTGCCTTTTAAACAGGGATATCTTGTTGAAAGTGGAGTTCCAGTGGATCATTCTCATAAAGTTTCTAGTAATGGTAAAGGTTTTGTAGATCCTATGGAAAATATTTGTGTTACTGATTGCTCTGTATTTCTCGGGATTTAGTTTCTGCCATGGATATGTGTATAGGGACCTTTGCATTCGAATTGGAATATGCTCGCTGGATCGAGGAACATGAGCGGCTGATCAGTGATCTACGATCAGCTGTTGACTTGCAGTTGGGAGATACCGAGCTACGAGTGATGGTAGATGCTGTGATGGCTCACTATGATGAGATCTTCAGGTTAAAGGGTATTGGCTCTAAAGCCGACGTCTTTCACATGCTTTCTGGCATTTGGACAACGCCCGCTGAGAGATTTTTCATGTGGCTTGGTGGGTTCAGATCCTCTGAACTACTCAGGGTAAATCAATCAATGATCAGTCTTTATCGATGCCCGGATTCACATTTGGCTCATCGGTTTCAAGTCTTGATCTTTTTCGTTTTTCATTTCCTGATCTGAATTGTGGGTTCAGGTACTGAGAAACCATCTGGACCCATTGACGGATCAGCAGTTTCTAGGCATTTGTAACCTTCAGCAGTCATCTTTGCAAGCCGAAGAAGCATTGTCTCAGGGCATGGAAGCTCTGCAACAGTCTCTTATGGAGACACTCTCCTCTACTGCTTCATTGGTCTGTCCGAATTCTCCGGCCAATGTTGCAGATTACATGGGGCAAATGGCAGTTGCAATGAGCAAACTCTCCACCCTCGAGACCTTCCTTCGTCAGGCAAAAACCTGATCCCTACACAAAGATTTGCTATTCTTATCAGGTTTGAGTTAGAGATGGGCACGGTCAGGTATCCGAGTTTTTTTTGGGTAACTGGTCTCGCCCTCACAGGTTTTGTGATGGAAGTATCTCGTTCTCGGTGTCCGAGATTTGGATACCCGCAGATATATGAACCCGCAAAAACATGTAAATTTTTGTTGACCCGAGTTGATCAGAGGGGTATAATGGTGATTTCACATAAAAAAATTAACATGGATATTATTGTGAATATCCTAAAACATCATTTTGCATGCCTTGGTGCAACCATGCTCGGCCTCGTTCGTGCCTGAGTGCCCGCGGGTCTCGGGTTTTAATGCCCATCCCTAGTCTGTGCTCAGCGGAAACTTACAGATTCTACATTTTTTCCTCTGCAGGCGGATCTCTTGAGGCAACAAACGTTGCAGCAGCTGCATCGGATTCTGACCACACGCCAATCGGCCCGAGCGTTCCTGGTAATCCACGACTACGTTTCCCGACTAAGAGCACTGAATTCTCTATGGTTAGCTCGCCCAGAGGACTAAAAAACATCGTTCCATCGATCCATCAAATGCCATAGTATTAGTAACTTAGGTGTATAAGGTCCGAGTTTTTAAGACAGCTTTCATTCTCTGATTCATTAGATCAATATATGTATTCGGGCCTACCCAAATCCCGTCCGGCTAAACCCAACCAAACTCGATGTCCGAATTGAATCCGGTCTGAAAGTCCAAAATTTTTCGGGTCTAAAAATTAAAGCTCGAATCTGATCATTTTTCGGATGGATTCGGATCGGATTTCGACCTCGTACTAATACCCTATTTGTGTGTTTATTGATATCCCTATATATATATATATTTGAAGTTCTCCTCCTCGCCAGGGTTACACCAGTCATTTCAAACCATCGTGTCAATTGGTGATTTCCGGCCCATCACAGGCCCAATAAAGATAAATAAGGCCCATTATCTTATCTTTGCTGACCCATATGATAATGTCAACGTGAACTGCAAATGATAAAATGAAATTGTGGGGGGGGGGGGGGGTT